GACTTGATGATCTGCTTTGGTCCCTTCTGACCCGACCAACTATGAAACTATAAGGGTGATATGTGATTAATAGGAAGCAGTTCAAAGGAGAACTTCCTGAATGCATGCAGATGTGAGACCTTCCTTTCCCATGTCCTTGTGACAAAGTATGTAGCAGAATTTGCAGATTCATTGGAATCTGACAGGGCCACGAGCACTTCTGCTATGGCCTTAAACTCTCAATCTCTGGGTTTCCAGCCACTCACCCCATCATTCACACCACCAGAACAGAGTGTGAGACCTATAAAAAAATACTTGAGGGTATCATTATTTAAGGTGCTGTGTGAAAATTATAACCAGTGGGAATGGGATGAAATTTAAGAAAGAGAAAAGCTGGGGTGATCTCAAAGAATCCTCCTGCTGAGATGTCGTAAACTGCTGATTTCTCTCTTTAAAAACAAACACTTTTCTTAGGAGCATTTTCTGTGCCTCGCTTCTACCGCTCTCAAAATGAAAATGATTGAAGACTATAATCATATAGGATGGTTAGTACTAGATGGGACACAGTACTCCCCTAGCATATGACTGGCATGGTCCTGACTGGCAAGGCAGTAGGTTGAAAGAGCTATTAGATTTTCAGTAGTGTGTTCCTGGGGTTTAGATATGCCCTGGAACCCACTTCAGCCTTACCACTGGTTATCTGAGGTTGCCATTTGATATCAACTCTCTAGGAGGTGGAATTTGTTTTGCTGTTTGCCTGTAATGCTGGGAAAGTGCAGCATAAAAGTAGCAACTTGACTCTTATTTTAATCAATTTTTCAGACCCAGCAATATTTACAGGAACACTACCAAAAATATTGGCCTTAGTGATTCAGCCTTCAGTGATCCTTCTTTCTTTCAACTTGTTGAATTCCCAAATGTATTTTGCATTAAGCCAGAAGCCAGTGGTATTAGGGTGAGGGGACAGAGTATTCCTGAAATCCAAGGCGAAATGCAAAGAAAAAAGCTGCAGACAGGTGAAGAATAGGAATAAATTTGCTGTCTCAATGAACCTGTAGAACCAGTTGCCCACAGTCAGCAACATATCCTCTCCTGACCTTAATTTCCTGGGGACAACCTATCTTTGTAAATGCAGAGGTTCAGATGTACCAGACAACTGATTCAGCTAATCTCTTAGATGTAATGGACCAGATGCTGCTATCTTACATAAGTATTAATACAAAACAGTTGCAATTTAAATTATTGTATCCTAGTGGCTACTGCTCAGTTACACTAGTAAGACAGAGACCAGAATTTGCCATGATATATTTATTGTATTGAAGAAATATTCAGAATCCTGATTTTCATTGCTAACATTTGCTACTGAGATAGTCCACATGTTTATTCTCTAAGTTCCTGAAAAGCTGTGATGTGACAGTGACTGGTTAATGACTGCTGAACTCAATCCAATTCAAATATTATGTTCTACTGCAATTCTTTTTATTAGCTTGTGTTCTTATATCCTTTGATACAATTTCTTTCCAATCTCTCTCTCATTCTAATATGCATTTGTACTCGTATTTCATTTGGATGCATATTTTTCATTGAAATCTGTGCATGCACCAAAAAGAGAGATCTTGCAAAAGATGTTTCTTTATAAACTATCCTGTAGTCAAACCTCTAAAGGGCTTTTCATATTTGATTAGTGCTATCACATACAATATCAGTTTAAGTGTTTGCTTGAATACAAAGATATTGAATAAAACCTTCAGAAGTATCCAAGTGACTTAGGAACCTAGGACTTGCTTTCAAAAGAAAAGAAGCCTTCTAAGTAAGGGCTAGATTTGCAAAAGCAGTAGGGCTCCTAAAGAATGCAGACAGGTGCCACATGGGATTGAAATCAGTGGGACTTTAGAAATCTGTAAGCAGCTAAATCTCTTTGAAATTCTGGTGCTGAGTGCCTAAGTCACTTTTGAAAATGAAGCTTTTCATTGGGTTTGTTTGAAAATGTGTTTGTTCTTATTTCGATCATCAAGAGGGACAGATTTCAACGATATCAGTAAGAGTGGAGCAATGGCATAAAAAAAGAGAAACAAGCTAAATTAATGGAGCAATAGTGTTTCTTGTTGTTAAAATAATTACATCTGTTTTTGCAGCAAACATAAACTTAAAGCCCCAGGCGGCTGGGTTTCCTGTTCAGACTGCGTACAGAGGCCCAGTCCACTGTATTAGCTCAATCCTCCGGAAAGAGGGCTTAGCAGGAATATACCGAGGTGCTGGTGCAATGGTTCTGAGGGATGTTCCTGGGTATTGCCTATACTTCATCCCTTACACGTTTCTCTGTGAATGGTTCACCTCAGATGGATGCAGGTCTCCTAGTCCCTCTTCAGTGTGGATAGCAGGGGGCATAGCAGGTATGGACCTTTCTCTTTACAGCATTGAGAAATACATTAATAGGAAGCTTAGCCTAAATGTTAGGAGATGTGAAAAACTTTCTAAGCACGTTAGTTTTACTGTCTGTGTTAGATGTCTTTGTTGTGTTACTTCAGCTTTGTGCTCGAGGCACAGTAGATTGTAGTATGTACTGTACAGAGTCACGGGACTGGAAGGGAATGTGAAGGATTATCTAGTCCAACCCCATGCACAAATGCAAGGTACACTAGTCCTAAACCATCCTGAACAAATGCCAAGGGGACAACTCACTGGAGTCAAGTTATGGACTTGCACAAATGCATGCAAAATTGGTCTCCATTTTTCATTTTCTCCTGATGCAGAGCTCACTGCAATCCTTGGAAAGCCTCCTCTGGATTTCAGGGGAGTTGGGATTAAGTCCGAAACCTGTGTCATTAGCTTCTCTTGTCCTCTGGCGTTATGAATGGCCCATAAGCCTCCATGATAGTACTTTACTCTCTATGTGGCTCACAAGAAGAAACATGAATTCCAGTTATGCTCAGCAGGAGAAGCCACCAAATGGAGAGAGTTAGATCAGCCATCATTAATCTTTTCTCAGCTTTGGAGGCTCAAACCTGTGTCTTCTGTTTGCATTGGCCACTACTACTTTTATACATAAATTTAGGTATACAAACTTCCCCTTAAACTAGCTATTAGTTTATTTACCATTCCTAAATCCCAGGACTCTAACTTAAGACTAGGTAGCCAATTACAACACACTGGCTCTGTTTCTCTTGCAAATATACAGAGCACTAGCTAATTTGAACAGCTTCTCTAGTATGTCATAACACTGGCACAGCTCCAGCCACACTCACTGTCATGCACTACCTCCCCCATTGCTCTTAATCACACACACAGCTGCTGCCATGAAGAAACACCAGGTTAATTATGACATGGAATCAATAGGCAGGAGGCTTTGCAAGCCGTTAAATCTTGCGGCTTTGGAAATAACATTGCATTCTGAAAGAAAATGGAAGCAAGTCTAGGATGAGATTTTCTGCACCTAAATTAATATCCCAAGTATGTGGAAGACCTCAGTGAAGTGATAGATATACCGCTGACCTTTACAACCAGGTAGAACATCCCCTCCAACTGCAGTCATAGACACTCCTGTAAGTATTATGCATGCATATCAATTTCTGTCAAGGAATGGCATCCTTTTTAAATCCAGTTCACATGTAATAAAAGTAGTACCTCATTCACATTCCTTCCTCACTCATCACTCCCTTTCCCAATATAACCACATGAGTGCAGTCACAGTTTCATAGTTGTTAGGGGCTAGAAGGGACCTTACAGATCATTGGGTCCAGCCCCCCCTGCACTTGGGCATGAAAGACTGCTGGGATCAGATAACCACAGCAAGATGGGCATCAAGACTTTTTTTGAAGATCGCCAGGGTGGATGACTGTACCACCTTTGGGGGGAGCCTGTTCCAAACCCTCAACACCCAACTTGTAAAGAAGATTTTCCTAATGTCTAGCCTGAAGCTATACCTTCATTCAGTTTGTGCCTGTTGTTTCTTGTCCTCCCCTGGGGGGCCTTACTGAATAGATGCTCCCCCAAGCCCTGATGTACACCCTTCATATATTTATAGGCTGCCACCAAGTCCCCTCTGAGTCTTCTCCAGGTTGAACAGTCCCAAGTCTTTCAGCCTCTTCTTGTATGACCTGGTCTCTAGGCCTCTAATTATGTGTGTGGCCCTCCTTTAGACTGTCCCTCATTTCTCCACATCCTTCTTGAAGTGCGGTGCCCAGAACTGGACGTAGCTCACCAGCCGTGGTCTCACCAAGGCTGAGTAGAGTGGCAGGATGATATCCTTTGCCTTGCTCGAGATGCCTCGGTGGATGCATGCCAGTGTTTGATTAGCTCTTCCAGCTACAGCATCATGTTGGTGGCTCATGTTCATTTTGTCAGTCATGACACCCAGGTCTTGTTCAGTTGTGGTGCTGGCAAACGTAGCACTGCCAAGCCTGTAAGGATGTTGTGAATTATTTCTCCCCAGATGGAGCACTTTACATTTCTCCATATTAAATGACATCCGGTTGGGGTCTGCCCACCTCACGAGCCTGTCCAGTCAGCCTGTATTCCCAGTCTGTCTTTGAGGGTGGCTACACTCCCCCATAGTTTGGTGTTGTCAGTACATTTTGCCTGTTCACTTATAATACCTGAATCCAAATCGTTGATGAACATGTTGAAGACCACTCGTCCAAGTACTGACCCCTGAGGGATGCCACTGGTCACCTTCCGCCATGACGACTCATTTGCATTGATCAATACCCTTTGGGTCCTACCACAGAGCCAGTTACCTAGTCACCAGACTGTAAAGTACTCGAGGCCTCATTTTCCCAATTTAACCATGAGGACATCGTCGGAGACTAGGTCAAAGGCCGTTTTGAAGTCCAAGTATATGACATTTAACATAATTTCTCCTACCCAGGTGGTGAGTTACATGATCATAGAAGGAAATGAGGTTGGTTTGGCACGACCTGCCCGTAATGAAGACATGTTGGCTGTCTTTCAGAATACTGCCTTCAGTTAGCCTGTATGTGATGGATTCTTTGATAATTTTCTCCAGGATTTTACCAGGGATTGAGGTCAAACTGATTGGCTTGTTTCCTGGGCCCTCCCTTCTCCCTTTCATAAAGACAGGTACCACATTGGCTTTTCCCAGTCTTCTGGGACCTCTCCCAAGTGCCACGAGTCTTCACATAACTTTTCCATCAGTCGTGCGATGTCTGTGAGTTCTTTTAGCACTCGTGGGTGTAGTTCATCTGGTCCTGCTGACTTGTAGATATTTAGCTTTTGCAGGTGTTCCCTCACAAGATCTATGCCAACTAAGGGAAGGTGGTCACCCCTACCACGATCATCCTGTATCCTGTCAAGGAGGCTATAACACCCTTGGCCTGGTGGAATACCGATGTGATGCATTCATCCAAGAGTTTAGTTTTGTCCTGAGTGTCAGTTATCAACCATCCCATTTCATTTATTGGGGCCTTATGCTTTCCTTGTTCTTTTTTGACTACCTACATATCTAAAGAAGGACTTTTTGTTGTCCTTGATTCTGGTTGCCAATTTGTATTAGGTACGTGCTTTTGCTGTCCTGATCTGCTCTCTACAGGTATGGGCTGTTGCTGAATGCTCCTCTTTTGGTAGCTATTCCTGACTTGCATCCCTTGTAGGCTTCTTGTTTAAATTTCAGGAGGTCCATAACCTCCCTGTTGAGCCAAGCAAGTCTCCCAGCAATTTTGCTGTATTTCTTCCAAAAGGGAATGGACTTTGAGCTTTTAGATTTGCTTCCTTGAGGAATGACCACCCTTCTTGTACTCCCTTCTTCAACCATGGTCCCACAGGGCCTTGCCAACCAATGTTCTGCGTTTGTGGAAATTAGCTTTTCTAAAATCAGGCCTATTTCCATGACTTATGGTGAATGGAGAAAGTGATCATCTCATGGTCACTGTCGCCCAGTTTCCCTTCAATCCTCAGGTTGCTCACTAGATCATCCCCTTTGGCCAGAACCAAGTCTAGGAGTGCCTTGTCCCTGGTTGGCCTGTAGACTTCCTGAGTTAGAGCTCCTCAATGAAAGCGAGGAAGCTTTGTAAACAATCAGATCTAGCTGAGCGATCCTCCTACAAGATGTTTAGGTAGTTGAAGTCACCCATGAGGACCATGCTTTGAGAGTGTGTAGCCTCTGCCAGTTCTCTAGAGAATTCTTGGTCGAGTCATTCCTCTTAGTTCAGAGGTCTGTAATTAGACTCCTAAACAAATTGCTTCTAAAGCAGCTCTTTTGCCAGGCATTTAACTTTTAGCTTTATTGATTCCTATCATGGGCATTTGCAAGTTGTTCCTCATGACAACACTCTGGAATGTGGGTACATTTTATAGACTGGGGAGCATAGGTGGTATGTTAAGAACAGTCTTCTTTCACAAGGGACACCTCTTAGATTCTCAATCATGGACATTGCAGCACCATTTCTACACACTGGGGTCCTTCCTGATCTGTCTATGGTTACCTGCCTTGTTTTCTACTTGCGTTATAGTAAAATCCAGTTCTGCAATGCTTTCTCCAAATATGAGCGACTGGTGCCTCCCAAGTCTGGGGGGGCACCAGATTGCTGATGGTGGGGAGTCCCCCAGTGCCAGATTGCTGTCCGTTGGCACTTCCAGTTTTGTGGCTAGCACTTCCAGGGGGTGCATGGCCGATCTCAGAGGGTGTATGTACACCCCCTATGCGTTGCCAGTGCCTCCAGATATTGTGCATTATCTCCAGAAACAGCATTTCTGGTGTAGAAACAGTATGTTTTCCACTATCATTTCAGCATATTCATCCTTTTTTAGAAGTACCATCAACCCGATGAAAGAAGTGAGTGGTAAATTAGTGGGCATATGAAGCTGGGGTTCAATAAGGAGTATGAATAGGTATGCACCAATAGAGAGTATGTTATTAACTAGATGTCTCCAATCATAATCAATGCTCCATTGTATTATTTCACTACAAGGGAAGAATTCCCCTTTTTCCTTTCTAGGAGCAATCTCCTGGGGGACTGCTACTCCAATGGATGTTGTGAAAAGTCGACTTCAAGCAGATGGGGTTCATTTAAACAAGTACAAAGGGGTCATTGACTGCATCTCCCAGAGCTACCACAATGAGGGCTTAAAAGTAAGTAGCACTGCTAGAAAACCTTTGTAATAGGCATTACTCCTCCATGAGAAAAATGATAGCTCTCATTATCCAAACTGCAGAGAGATGATAGTAGATCATCAAAGTCAGTACAATTAATTATAATCAAGTCATAATAATGACCGTGATTACAGGCCTGAGAGAAACAAAGATTGGAATGATTTAGGGCCAGGTTATACAATGTTATTGGCACACTTTACACTATTAAAATCAGTGATGTTAATTGAAGCTGCTTATAATGAATTAGGAGCTGGCCCATAGGGATTGTTTCCTATAAAAGGGAGGATCAAGTACTTCCCCCATGAAAGTCGATGGGAACCTTGCTTCAGTTATTATTCAATAAGAGGTGATGAGTCTAATCTTCTGCTGCCCTAGACTGGAGAAATATACTACAACAGAACCTGTAGAAAAATCTATGGAGCAAGACCTGCAGGGAGCTTTGGTTAACTGACTGTGGGGTTTTTAGGGCAAACCAAAGGAGAGGAGCACTGCTCAGAGATGGCAAAGCCTGGTGTGGATGCTTAGCAGACACGGGAAAGAGGGCTGTTGATGCTGGATATAGTGGATTTGCAGAACAGCAACAGGAGGTATAAAGTAGCAGTATGCCCCTTTGCTCATTCAGCACTATGGTATATTCATCCTTAATATTAAAATTCACAGCGTATCGTCTTTCTCTACATATCTTAAGTGATAGGTCATTTGTGCTGAGCTGACCTCCTTTATAACTATTGACGAGAAGTGTGTCTTCATAAAAAGTCAGTGCCTCAAAGAAACACTCAAGATTGCCACCTTGTATTACACTGCAAATTACTTGAAATTTTAAGGTCCTGAATTGTGCATTTCAGCAGCACGAACTATACTTAATTATTTGATTCTGGATGTTGCTGTACTTAAGTGTTCTGGTTTTCAAAGAATATGTATGTTACTTTAAATGATGGATTCCCTTGTATGAGACCCAGATCTTTAATCTTCCCTTAGCCAAAAGGCCTATAGACAGCTGTGGGAGTGCTGCTTTTGTAAGGACTGAGGAGTCAATTTGATATAAACATTTTGGTCTTCACTTCTATTCTAAAATTCAATAGGCTTGATTTTGCTATTAGCTGTAAGTCATGTATTTAATAGCATGAATCTGTTAGAAGCAGACAAATTGTAATACTCAGGAAAACATAATTTTCTAAATGGTTAAATGGAAATTTCCTAGAATTGAGTTTGCATTTGTCTCTTGTGCAGTGAGTGTAATGCAACAGTGTTATGTTAGACGGTGGAATTTTTTTAAAAGGATCTGAGTGAGAAGTAGGAGTAAACAGTGTTAATAATACAACGAACCCTTTTTCACTTTCCATAAAGCACTTTACTGTTCAGGCAGTGAAAGAATGCAGCCTCTTTCACTCTCTGAAATGCCAACAGCAGTTCAAAATATGTCCAAAATTATCAGATGTGAATAGCTAAATCCATATTTATCCTCTTTAATAAATGGGAGGATTAAATAGGGTCTTAAACTGATGTCAGAAAAGCAAATTTGAAAGTATTGGTCCAGAGCAAACACTGCTGCTGAGTTTGTTTGACAGTCATGTGAGCTATTTGTCAACAAGGGGGAAGAATGACTCCAGGTTTTCCTTCTGACTGGAAATTGTTTTGTGACGATAGAGGAGAACTCCCACGTATTTTAGGAATGGCATGTCCTGGACTAGATGACCCTTGAGGTCCCTTCTACCCTTCTGGTTTTGTGATTCTGCTTGGACTGAGATGGAGCATTTTATAGACGTTTGGGCTGGAAGGGACCCTGGAGGATCATCAAGTCCAGCCCCCTGCCCCAGGGGCAGGAAGTCAGCAGGGATCATAGGATCCCAGCAAGATGAGCATTCGAATGTGTTTTGAAGGCATTCAAAGTGGGTGCTTGAACCGCCTCCGCTGGCAGTCTATTCCAAACCTTGGGGGCTCGGACAGTAAAGAAGTTTTTTCTTATGTCCAGCCTGAATTGGTTGTGGCGGAGTTTGTGACCATTCGATCTTGTCATCCCTTGGGGCGTTCTGGTGAACAGATGTTCCCCCAGATCCTGAAGAGCACCCCTGATAAACTTATAGGTGGCCACCCGATCACCCCTGAGCCTGTGTTTTTCCAGGCGGAAGAGTCCCATGGCGCTCAGCCTCTCATCATAAGGTCTGTTTTCCTGACCTCTGATAATGTGCGTGGCTCTCCTCTGGACTCTCTCAAGCTTCTCCACATCCTTTTTGAATTGTGGGGCCCAAAATTGGATGCAGTACTCCAGCTGTGGCCTCACCAA